ACCCCTTTGTAAGTAACAGATAGGTGATGGAGTGAAGTCACTAGTCCAAGGGCAGAGTCCTAAGACCTACAAGCCATGCTTTTCTTGGCTCTCAACATTTTGTTTCAACATTCCCAGTATAAAAATCATTCTCTTTACAATGAGACATGCAAAATAACTGCTGTGTAATTTTGCTTTCTCATAGCAATTGGTTTTTCTCTGATTAAAAAAATATAAGCCCCAGTATAAGCAACTGGTTTTTCTCTGATTAAAAAAGTATTTAAAAATATAAAATAATAGACCTGGGTCAATTTCCAAAGTCCTACCATCTTGTCTACCTTAGACAAGCTACTGAGTCTCTGAGCTTTATTTTTATCCTCTCTAAAATGGGTGTGGCATCGCCAACTCACCATCATGAGTATTAACCATGACTTAATTCATGTGAAGTGATAACACAGTCTCTCATACACAGCAAGAACCCCTTCCCAGGCAATAGCTTAGAATAGTGGTTCTTATTCCTGACTGGGCATCAGAGTCACCAGTGGAGTTTTAAAAAGAAACTTCAAGAACAAACAAAAATCCAAAGCACATTTTTAAAAATACAGAAAATGTTGATTATATCAGAATTTCAAATTTCAGTATGACAAATTATACCATCAACCCAAGTAAAATGAGAAAGACTGGGAGATAATCTTTGTAACACACATAATAGTATTCAGATTATATAAAATGTCAAGAAATCAGTAACAAAAAGGCACATTTGCAACAAAAAATGCAATGTGTAGACAAATCACAATTTACAAAAAGAAAAATTAAAAAGTCACAAAATATGACCTCTATCTCACTAATAATCAGGAAAATGAAAATTAAATCAAATTACCACATTTCACTCACTATATTGTCCAAGATTAAAGGCAATAATAAGCATATATTCTTAAATGTATAGAGAAATGAGTATTCTCATGTTGAACCAGTGGAATTATAAATTCCTACAGGACATTTGAAGAAAAACTTACAGTTTTGATTAAAACTAAAAATGTTCGTATTCTAGGACCAGATTCCACTTCTAGTATCTACCCTAAAAATTTTTTTGCATATTATATACCCCAAAAATTGAACAAAATACTGCAGATATGTCTGTGACTATAGAAAATAGAAAACAGTATGGATGCCCAAAATAGAGGGATGATAAATAAAATATAATACACATATATTAAGAACCATACTTCAGAAGTTAGGTTATGAATCTGATCTATCTGTATCAACATGTGTACATTTTTTAAATGTTGCATTCACAAAGTATATACATAGTAGTTCTTACTTAACAGTTAATAAATATTCTGAAGGTTTTACATGCATTAAGTCATTTAATCTTCAGAACTACCCTATTAGCAGACAAGACTGTTATTTCCATTTTACAGATGAGGAACTGAAGCATGGATAAGTCAAGTGACTCTCTCTAAGCCTCAGTCCTGCATCCATGGGGTCCATCCTCTCGGCTGCTCCATTGTGCTTACTGAAAGAGGTTGCAGACCAACGTGTACAGCATGACACTGGTCAATATCAACATACTTTTCCAAGGGAGTGGAAGGAAATATGCTAAACTCATGATACATTGCCTTGGCTAGAATGTTTGTAGAATGATCAGGATAGAGGGAAGATCAGAAAAGACTATAGCTTTATCTTCTAATTTTTTTTCTCAAGAAACAATATGTTAATTTGTAGTTTTTGAAACTGTAATCATATAGGAAAAATGAAGTTATATATTGAAATGTTAATAGTGTTTGATAATAGATGGACGGAATATTAGTAGTTAATCTTCTTGCATTTAAATGCATTTTCCCCATCAGGTATATTTGAGAAAGTATAAATATGAGAAAGATTTGGAAGACTAGGGAGAGTGAAAAGCCTTGATTTTTAAGTTTTCTTTTTTTTAATGAAAGAAAAAATACCCAGAGACAGACAGTCTTGCCCCCTCCCCCCAAGAATGGGAGACTGGGGTCAGGATATTTACATTTTTTGAAAAATTCCAGAGTGATTCAGATGTTCAGGGATAGTTGTATTTGGCAGAGGTGTGGGGTGTAATAGAGAGATCATGGGCTTTGTAATCTGATATTCAGGGTTCAATGACATTTCCACTACACATTAGCTGTGCGATCTTGAGCAAATTACTCAACTGCTCTGAACTTCAGTTCCCTCAAACATAAAGAAAGAGTACTACCTTCACTTAGTTTAATGAGGATTAAATGAAGAGTCATATGTGCCTGGCTCATCATATAATATGGTTCCACAAATACAAGAATTTGATTCTTTCTCTTAACGCAGCATCTTTTTTTTTTTTTTTTTTTTTTTTTTTTTTTTTTTTTTTTTGAGACAGAGTCTTACTCTGTCGCCCAGGCTGGAGTGCAGTGGCGTGATCTCAGCTCACTGAAACCTTTGCCTTTGGGTTCAAGAGATTCTCATGCCTCAGCCACCTGAGTAGCTGGGATTACAGACATGTGCCACCATGCCCAGATAATTTTTGTAATTTTAGTAGTGATGGGGATTAACCACGTTGGCCAGGCTGGTCTTGAACTCCTGGCCTCAAGTGATCTGCCAGCCTCGGCTTCCCAAAGTGCTGGGAGTACAGGTGTGAGCCACCATGCCTGGCCTTAACTCAGTACTTTGAATGATTGTAACATTTTGGCAGGTTGTTAATAAGGAGAGAAGTATGCTGGCCTATACAATTTCTACAGCAACATCTGAAATATGTTTGGAAAAAGAAAATCAATACAACCCCTCTTCAGTCACCCAGTGGCCTCTGTTTTCCCTTCTGTAAAATGGGTGTAATAACATCACTCACTGACCTGTGCAGTTGAGATTCTGGATAACGTTTCAGAGAGTTCACCCAGAGTTCAAACACATGCATTCACCCTCTTCTCCCACCATCCCTCCACACAAACACACATGTCTTGAGTGCATTTCATCCAGTTCTGGTAATTTAGTTACTTGTATTTTGTTTATTAGGTTGAAAACATTCTGCTCATTTACTATTATTTAATCTATTAATTCTGTGTTAGGCCTAAGGGGAAACCTCTCAAGGAGAAAATGCTGATTATCTAATACAAAAGCTAAAAAGTTACAAAGGTACATTTTACAGATATATTCTTTCTCGTGAACAGTTTGTCATTCGGAAAATACCCTCTCTCCTCTACACTCATTGATTGCTCTCACTCAGACACACATTCTCCTCCCCTAGGCTTAATTTTTAAAGGCAATTTTTGAAGAATAATTTTGATTTATGAAAAAACAGAAACGATAGCACAGAGAGTTCCCACATAACCAGACTGGACCCAGTCTCCCCAATTATGAACATCTCACATTAGTGGGGAACATAGGTTACAATTAATGAACCAATGTTGATGCACATCATAAACTAAAGGTCATACTTTATTCAAATTTCATTAGTTTATATGTCATGTCTTGTGTCTGTTCTAGGATCCCATTCAAGATACCATGTCACACCTAGTTCTCACGTCTCTTTATGCTCCTCTCAGTTGTGACAATTGCTCAGACAGTACTTGTGTCTGATGACCTGAGAGTTTTGAGGAGTACTGGTCATGTACTTTGGATAATGTTCCTCAATTAGGATTCATCTGACTTTTTTCTCTCATGGTTAGACTGAGGTTATGGGTTTGGGGCAGGAAGACCACAGGGGTAATGTGCCATTTTCATCCTACCAAGGATACATTCTATCAACATGACATCAATCATGATGTTAATTTTTAGTTTTTTTTTCTTTCTTACTCTTAAGGAAAGGTGTTTTAACATTCAGTTTCTTTTTTGATAATGCTGATTTTGGTCACACGGCTGAGGTGTCTTTGTCACATTTCACCACATAAAGAGACTCTTTTCCCCCTTCCATAGGGTACTTTTTGGAAAAAAAAAAGTCACTATACAAAACTCACTACTTAAATTATTTGGAATTCTAGATAAGAAATCTGCCTTTTCTCTATTTATTCATATATTCAATCACAAGATTTGATTATATTTAAAAACTCAGGGTAAAAATTAATTGGGCTTTGGCCAGGCCTGGTAGCCCACACCTGTAATCCCAGTGCTTTGGGAGGCCAAGGCAGGCCCATCACTTGAGCCCAGGAGTTCCAGATCAGCTTGGACAATATAAAAAGACCCTGTCTCTATTAAAAACATGAAAATTAGCCAGGCATCGTGGCATGTGCCTGTAGTCCCAGCTACTCAGGAGGCTAAGGCATGAGAATCACTCAAACCTGGGAGGTGGAGGTTGCAGTGAGCTGAGATCACGCCACCACATTCCAGCCTGAGTGACAGAGTAACACTGTCTCAAAAAAAAAATTAATTGCCTCAAAAAGTGAAAAGAGACTTTTAAAACATTTTTTTTACTTAAAAAGAACTTATTAAGTTAAAAACTTCTTTTTCTTTAGATTGAATTTCATTCTTAATTGAACATAAGGTATATAAAACTCGGGTTCTGTTGAGGATGTAAAGATGACTGAGGCAAGTTTCTCTTCTTGAAGAAACCATCCTCAGGGCTAGACATAAATGTATACACTGAGCAAGCAAAGCAGTGCTGCAGATGAAAGTAAGAAGTGCTTTGGGAACACTGAGAAGATTGTAATTAATTCAAGGAAAGCTTGAGAAAAGAGGTCTGAAGCCAGGGCCAGCTCCTGGGATGTGCAACCAGTGTCATCCCACAGGAATCACACTTGGAGTTTCATGTTCTTTGCAACTTTCTTGAAATTCTTAATAATAACCTTGGAATTTGTGTTTGATAAGCAAAGTCCGTTATATTATCAGCACTATACTGTGAATGGAAAAACTGAAGCTCAGAGAGATTGAATGACTCAGGTAAGGTCGGTCACACAGTTAGTTAATGTAAGAACCTGAGCTGAAAATCAAATCTTCCTGTTCCAGATCCTGCATTCTTTTCATTGCATCTAACTAGAAAATGACATGGAAGTTTGCTATGCCATTATCCAAGCAAACATGAACGAAGCACTGACCTCAAATAACCGCAACACTTTGGCCAATGCACCAACTTCTTCTTTGAGTGAGAAGATCAGTGATATGGCACCATTTTGAGTGGAGTTGTCTTCAATATAGCTTGTTTCCTACAGGATAAGATGCATTTGGTTAAAACATTTTCCACAGTTCAGCAATTCATTCCTATTAAACCTCCATGAACAAAGCAAACATGAACACTTTCTTTTAGTTAAGTCTTGCAGTACAAAGAGCTATATATATTCTATACAGAAATATGTAGTGTGGTGGAAAATAAGTAAGTCCAGGGCAATTAAATGTTCAATGATGCTACTGGGTCAGCTATCAACTTAAGGAAGCTTCAATTCTTCATTGATGTTACCATTCAATCCTGTAAATTCAATATCTTTTAATGAGCACCTACTAAGTTCCAGGTACTAGTCAGGCTCTAAGAAATTTAAAGATGAATAAGACAATGCTCTATCTTTTAGGAGCTCACAACTTAACTTAATAGACATATACATAACAAATCAAAAGATCCTTAGAGGTGATATAATATAGTTTATAAAATGTCCCAGAGAGACATTGAGAAACACAGTATGGAAAGTACTAAAAATAGAACATGCACAGGCTTTTGAGTCCTACGACCTGGGTTGGAATCCTCTCTCTTTCATCTTCCAAGTGGACAACTTTGGGCAAATCACTCAGCTTTCTTAGTTTTCTCATCCATAAAAGCATGCTAAAAACAAGCTCTGTCAAAACAGTATTCAGATAATGAAAAAAGGAAAAGATCAGTTTTAATAGAATATTGAGAAATATATAAAAAGAATGGAAATATTATAAATACACAAAAATGACCTCTTGACTTTTGGCAAAGATCTCAGCAAGTATTAACGTGTTTCCATATGCTGAGATCTGAAATAGCCAATTGTTGAGAAAGAGTCACAAAATTCATGAAAATACACAAATAACCTATCAGAAGATAAATTTAGTCTTAAACTAAATCTCAAAGAATGTCCAGGATCTAGCACTTACTACATGCATGTGACAGAAAAGGAAGGTGGGGTTAGAATGGACATTGCAGAGTTTGCTAAAACATTAGCCTAAGTTTGAAAATAATATATAAAATTCTATATGTGTCTACAATAAACAGCAGGTACCTAAAACTGGGAAGAAAAAAATTTGCAGAACAGTTACTCTCTTGTAAGCAAGTTAATGAAATTAATGGAATGGACGTTACATCATCTCAATGAGAGAAGGCTGTGTTAGGAGTCTCTTAGTGACTCAGAATAACAAGCCTTGCATGAATACTGATGACCCTTAGCAAAAAATTCTTTCGATTCAGAAAATTCAGATTTTCCCCCAAATATCCCATGAAACTGAGGTGTGAAGGCAAAATCACATTTACCAGCAAGAGTGATTATAGCAAGCTTCAAATGAAATGGAAGACTAAACTGTTAAATATCCCTATTTTGATCACGATGTTATCTTTCTAAAAAACCATTAATGGACCATTTAGTTAGAGCCTATAATTTCCAGATACTAAAATAAGCACTTGATTTGTATTATCTCATGTAATTTTGGCAACAATGTAAGAGGTAGGTTTTATTATGTACCAAGTTCCCCCTTTTATTGATGACAAAATTGAGGCTTAGAGAGGTTAAGTAACTTGCCTATAGTTACACAGCCGTGGAGCCAGGATCTGAACCCAGGTTATTCGATCTCTGCATACTGTTCATGAATCACAATCTCTCCCAGCCTCTATTCTCCTTCCCCATTTTAAACCCTGACGGAGAGGTACAGAAGAGTCTCTGAATTCAGTGATCTTCCTACCAAAGAACACTGAGCCTTGTTCTTCCCAGTTTCATAGAAATGACAAGAGATTTTCCTGTTTCTAGTTCACTTGGCAACACTCTTTTCTCCTGTTGGCCTCCGAGAAAAGTAAGATATTTCTGATACACATCAACAGATGCCACCTTTGACTAAGGTAATTCAGACTTGAATGTACCTGGGCTTGAAATTCAGTCACCCCACCCTACTCCAGCGTGTGCTCAGTCAAATGCCAAGTCTGATCTCATCTTCTTCAGAAATGTCTCTGGGTGCCAGGTCCTTTTTTGCTCCCACTGCCATCACCTGAAACCATTTCTTAGTGGCCTGCATTGATCCAGCCTAAGACAATTTTTCTTGCTTCCTTCTTCTACTTATAATCCCTCAAAGGCTCCCTCCCCATGATCATCAGGATAAAGTGCTTCTTACTGATATTTGGCAGTCTCTGTGGTACCTCACCTCTGGAGGCCCATCTACAGGAACCTCCTTTCCAGCCAAGCTGCTTTCTTTCTTGCCTTTTTAACTCTTCATTAGAGTAAATCACCAAATTTCTCTTTCCAAGATCTCATCCTTCCTTAAAGGCTCTCTTGGGTCTCATTTCTCTTAGGAAATGTTTGTGCCCCTCATCCCAAGTGCACAATCACTTCTTTATGCTTTCCACTTGGCATTTGATGCCGTGTGGAAACAATAACTGACTCACACAGATTGATTTGTCCTTAGTGCTCACCTAGTTAAACTCCCTCACATTAGAGATAAGCAAAACCTAGAGGCAAAGGGAGAAAATAACTCACCTGAGGTCACGAAGGGAGTGGAGGCTGGTCAAGAACTCAAGTTCCTAATTATCAGTTGTTCTATATAATTCCCCTTGCTGTGAGCATAATGTGGGAATTCAGTTCTCTGCTTCTTGCAAAGTCAAAGATTTACTCTGGTCCAGTCAGCAGTTAGTCAATACCACTCCTAACAGCCTACATTTCACCGTGCTGAGCCCCCTTCCCTTGCTCCATTCTCTCCATACGCTTTCTAAATCAGTGTTTCTCAGTGAGTGTTCCTTGGATCTCAACTCCAGAATTTCCTGGTGATTCCTTCTTATAATGTAGTTTCCTGGGCTTTACCTAAACCTATTAAATCAGGTTGTCTTAGAATATGCCATTTCAAAACCATCTTAGGTGATTCTTAACCACAGAAAATGTTGGAACCATTGATAAATATACAGCCTAATTTTTTTTTGAATTATAACTTTTCCCTAAATGTGTCTGCAAATTCACATTTACTCTACAACAAGACACTACTTTTGGTTGATATTAATACTATTTGTGGATTCTCTACAAAATGCTTTATAAAGAACTTTAAAGCCCCATATTTTCCTGACCAAATCCCTGCCCCTAACCCCTTCCCACAGCTGTGGGGACCGTATTGCCAGCAGCCCTGAAGCTACATGGAGGATGAAGCCAGGATCTCTTCTGGGATCACTCCGACTCTCACGCTGTTCCTCTGCACGGTAAGTTCTGTCTCCTAAGAGCCATGCACTTTTTTTTTTAAGGATTAAAAAACAATCAGCCCAAAGTTCTGCAGTCTTTTAGTTATATTAACTTCAACAGTTTAACAGCAGCCTCCTGTTCTCTCCTGACAACTCTTCTCCCTAACCCTGCAGATGACAGGGCCTGCAGTCTCACATTACCTTCCAGGCCTGGGCTTCACGACTGAATCTCAGAGTCCAGGAGTAGACTCCCTGCCTTGGGTAAATATATAGGTTACATTAAAGAATGTGTTGTGCAATTGTTCACCTCAAGAAAATGCCAACAAATCCTGGAGAATGGAATATACCTTGGCTATTATTTCCAAGTCACATTTAGGGTTCTTTCATATTCCACGCCCAGGGCTAACTCTTGGTCATTTTCCTCTCTGCTTAGTTCCTGCCTCCCCAGGTCTGAGTAAGTTTCTGCCTAAATTTTCTTCATGCCTCATTATCTTCCCAAAGTGAAAGGAGGATAGTTAAAATTCTGCCATTTTGATACTTGGCTGAGAGCACTTTATAAATATTATGGAGGAGAACTAGAGGACCCCATCTCCAACCCCAGATCATTAGGGACCAAGCCCTTCAGTGTACAGAAGAGTAAAGGGACAACAGAAAGGGACAGTAACTTTTCCAAAGACACACAGCTAATTGGTGGCAGTTCTGGAGGCCAGATCCCCAGCCCCTTAAAGCAATGCTCACTCATTCCTGTGAAAGCCACACAGGACAGATTTCTCCCACTTAGAAACCATTGTTGAGGACATTTGTCTGTTGACTTCCTGGACATTCTCATGAGCTTCCAGTGAATTCAGACTTCTTACTGAGCTTATGAAACTAGGAAGCACCAGCAGTCTTCAGACCTCTTTCTCTGGAGGCCCAAACTCCCCTACCTGAGCACCTCAGAGTGCTGTGGCTCACCTGTCCAAGGTCAGAGAGTTTCCTGCCGAAGCCTCGGTTTTCCAGGACTGCAGTGGACATGCCGGCTCCACGGGAGTGAGGTCTCTGGCTGTTTAGGGCCTCAGACAGGTTTGCAAACAGCATGTGGGGCTGAGGGTTTTAACCTGGCATTAGGGTGGAGAGGAGAGTTACAAAAGGTGTGTCTTGCGCGGTGCATCCGGCACAGTAACGCCCCTGGTGGGCGTTGTCCTGACGCAGGAGGCCAGGGCAGCCTGCCTGCTCCTCCAGCTCACCTGTCCTGGAAGCGCCGGAGGGGAGGGGCCGAGGGAGGGTGTAGCAGACGAGGGAGGTACCACTTGGCTGCCCGCCCTGGGTGATGGGAAGAGGTCAAGGGCAGGTTTTGGCACTTTCGGGACTCTCAGAATCCTAGAAAGCGGGTTCTCTGCCATTGGAATAAGCCTGCGACCCTCTGGTATAACAATGATATGAATAATCCGCCCCACCTGCCCCCTACGAAACAGTCAGGATTCTCATTGAGATTTTGTTATTTTCCTTTCTGTTAACCTCTAAGCACACGGCGTTGATGTGCGCTGACTTCAGAAAACTACAGCTAGAGGGCAGTTGAACGGCCGACCACAGCAGGTGAAGAGCAAATGTAAGAGTGGCTCACGCCTGTAATCCAAGCACTTTGGGAGGCCGAGACGGGTGGATCATGAGGTCAAGAGATCGAGACCATCCTGGTCAACATGGTGAGACCCCGTCTCTACGAAAAATACAAAAAATTAGCTGGGCACGGTGGCGCGTGCCTGTAATTCCAGCTACTCAGGAGGCTGAGGCAGGAGAATTGCCTAAACCCAGGAGGCGGAGGTTGCAGTGAGCCGAGATCGCGACCCTGGGCAACAAGAGCGAAACTCTGTCTCAAAAATAAATAAATGAATGAATAAATATATAAATAAATCCAGTCTGGTGTTCTCCAGCTATTCACATAACTGCTGCTGAAGCTCGAAAAGAAGGTGGCAGAGCAAACTTGCTGGAAGATTTTAAGAATAGTAATAAAGAAATGCATTAAAATTTAGTATATTTCTTCTGTGTAAACATTCAGTAAATGGAAGATATTGTTTAAAAACATGTCCATATAAATTTAACAACAAATAATCACTAAGACCTGTACTGTGTGCGTGGTGGTTGGTGTTCTGGTCTTTGGTAATACAACAACGAACAAAATAGAGTCTGCCTCCCCAGCTATGCTACCATTCTGGAGGGCACACAGAAAATAAACACATAAATAAGTTTAGGCAGGGAAAAGTCTTTTGAAGAAAGTAAAGTGGGAGGTAGTCTAGCAGTGAGCTGGTGGGTGTTAGCCAGTGGTCTTCAAATAGACAGTGGTCAGATGTCATTAACCACGCTTTTCAGAGGATGAGACTGACATGAGCCTTTAGTGACCAGCAGGTAAAACAAAGTATCAAAGAATGCTGGAAAGGAGGTTCAGAAGTTCTGAAAGGATGTGAAAACTCAGGGCAAGCCTTGAGTGCCGCTTAGTATTTTCTCAAGAGAAATTAATAGGCTGTAAGAAAATAAGTCAATAATAAAGGTTGCTAGAAATCCATCCCTCTCCTCCCACTGATCTTTGACCAAGGATCTGTCAAAAAAAAAGAAAAAAACATAAAAACACAGGTTTGGGATTCAAAACAAGTGGTTTAACTTTTGGTTCTGCCACTGATAGCTGTGTAGCTTTGGTCAAGTCCATGCCTTAGTTTTTTGGTTTGTTTGTTTTGTTTTTGTCTTTAAAATGAGAATTTTAAGGGATGTTTAAGATTCCTTAAGCCTCTATGATATGCCAGGCTTTCTACTGTCTGTTAAGAACACAGACATAACAAGTGTAATTTCTATCCAAAAGCAATCATTGATGAATATTTTCCATAGTAAGTTGGAAGCTCAATGTTGTTAAATATTGAAGGCCAAGACCTTGATTTCCATCATCAGGAGAATCTGTATCCTTTATCTGACTCCAGTATTTTTCTACTGTAGTAGACATAAAATGTGTTGTATTCCTCAGCCTCAGGATTTTCTTACAAACATCATGTCATCCCTTGATGCTGCTTGAGGGCAATGCATGTGACAGCCCCTAAGATATTACAGGCATGCAATAAAGAAAAGCAAACAATGTTATCTATTTATTTGCATGCACACTCTATCTTAGACACTGTGCCAAGCTCTCCACATGCATAGTTTCACTTCTTCCTCTCAAAAATCCCATGAACTATGCACTCTGCCTTGACAGGCACAGAAACTGAGGCCGAGAAAGTTTAAACAAATGGCCCACATTCAAACTATGTTTCACCCAACACCAGCGTGCTGCACTGGCTCTCAAATACTTTTTCTTTCCAGTTTCATTCAGGACAACATGATTTTTAGGACAACAAAATGATAGCTTTTCTTCCTTCTCTCTATATCAGTTAAAAATGGAATATTTTTAGTTTTTGATTTTTGGGGGAAACACAGTAGATGTATGTCTTTACGCGCAATACTTAGCTACAGGCATGCAATGTGTAATAGCCACATCATTGAAAATGGGGCATCCAGTCCTCAGGCATTTATCTTTTGTGTTACAAACAACCCAATTATACTTTTCAAGTATTTTTTAATGTACACTTAAGTTATTTTTACTATAGTCACCCTATTATACTATCAAATACTAGATCTTATTCATTCTTCCTATTTTTTGTTTACCCATTTACAATTTCTACCTCCCCTCCAGGCCCCCACTACCCTTCTCTCCCTTCGGTAATTATCCCTCTACTCTCCAGCTCCATGAATCAAATTGTTTTGATTTTTAGACCCCACATATGAGTGAGAACATGCAATGTTTGGCTTTCTGTGCCTGGCTTATTTCATTTGACCTAATGACCTCCAGGTCTGTCCATGTTATTGCAAATGACAGGATCTCATTCTTTTTTATGGCTGAATAGTGCTTTATTTTGTATAAAAGTACCACACTTTAAAAGAAAAGCATGTTAATGGACACTTGGGTTGCTTCCAAATCTTCGCTATTGTGAACAGTGCTGCAACAAAACTAAAAGAGCAGACAGCTCTTTGATACATGGTTTCCCTTCTTCTGGGTATATGCGTAGCAATGGGATCACTGGATCATATAGTAGCTCTATTTTCAGTTTTTTGAGGAACTGCCAAACTCTTCTCCATAGTGGTTGTACAGAAATGGAATTTTTAATCCCATCTCACATAAAAGTGCCCCAGATCCAGGTTGAGAGGAGAGCACACTTAATTGTCTACTATTTCAGAGAAGAAAAACGAATTGCTTCTTGAAAAAAAATTATTCTGGCAAAAAGAAAAAAATTATTTATGCACTAAAATAAAAATAAGAGATTTCTTGTGCCACAAATTTTGCAGATGATTTTTAAGCTTTTTGTTCAATTTGGATGGAATGCAATGTGTTACTATAATGAGGGCGGTGCAGGGTGCTAAGGAAATTGAGGGAAAAAATGACATGCCTTGAAGAAGTATGCACAGTCAGTTTATAGACCACTGAGGTATTTTTTAAGGCTGCACAGAGGTGGGCACCATGTCGCAAGATGAGAAATTGTGTACTTGGCAAACTTAGAGCTGACCTTCACTGATTTGAAAGTTGAAGATTACCCAGCCCTTGCAGGTTTATCAGTCCTTTCTTGTTTATCATCATGCGCAGGAAGTTTAGTTAATCATAACCCATGAGTTCATGGCACAGAATCAAAACGTACATGACCCGTCTCTTGTTTTTTTATTCATTCTCTTCTGTCATAATTCCCCACTCTCATTGCATTTCCCCAGAGGCAACTTCTCTAATATGATATTTAGCCTTAAACTTGTAAAATACATGGAAATATTTGTGCATATATGGATTTTTTCATGGATATGTAATATGGCACTATAGTTTTACTATAATTTATGGATGTACTATAGATTTCATCATTTCTAACTTTTTTCTTTCAACTGTGTTCTTAGGATCTAGCCATGCTGCTGAATATATATCTAGTTCTTTGCTTTTGTAATTGGTTGAGAATATACCCATGTGTATCTGCCACATTTGACTTCTCTGTTTTCCAGTTATGGACATCTAAGTTACTTCTATTTTTCACCACCCCAAACAATACTGTGATAAATTTCCTTGTCTGTGTTCCCCTGTAGGCCTGGGGTAGAGATTTTCTGGGATAGAAGAGTGGGGTTATGAATTACAGGGAACAGGTACTCTTAATTTCACAAAGTGGTGCCAGATTGCCCTTTAGAGTGGCTTGGGCCAGTCTACACGCCCACCAGCAGGCAAAAGAGTTCCTATGGCTGGGTATACTTAATATGTGCTGTTCTCCAAAAGTTAGAGTTTTGCCAGTCTGATCAGCATGAGCTGGTGTCTTGTTGCTGTTTTTAAGTTGAATTTCTCTCATAACCAATGAGCTTGAGCATCTCTTCATATACTTATACCTCTTAGATTTCCCATGCTATAAATAGTTTATCAGCATATTCTCTGCCCATTTTTCTGCTAGGATTCCTGTCTTGTTGATTTGCTGCAATAATTTATATGGTCCAAATATTAGCTCTGTGTCCTACTCAGTCACTGAACACATTGTCTCCCAATTTATCACTGTCAGTTAACTGTCCACTGGTGTTCTTCCTTGATTAGATGACAATAAAACAAGTTGTGCCATTGAGTATTGTTTAAGAAGTCATTTCCCCTCCCAAAGTTCCAAAGAGGTGCTCTTCTCTCTATCACCTAGACCTTTCATATCTAGATCTTTAATCTACCTGCATCTCTTCTGTATATGGACTATGCAAAGACTCAGTTGTTGTTGTTTTATTTCTCTCTCCACATTATGAGTCCATATTGGGTATAAAGAATCTTCCTCCATTGACATTTTTACATTCAGAGGTTTCCAAGAGGAGATGAAAGAATCTCTTCTCTGAGAGGCATAGCAGGAGACACTTCTTTGACTCTTGGTACCACATGGAGTTTATCAAGTTCCCATTTATACTTGAGTCTATCTCTGAGGTTCAATTTCATCCCACTGGTTTATTTCATTGTGTCTCTTCTTGTGTCACAATTATCCTGTTAATTACTACAGTATGGTTTGATAGTATATCTTAATATCTGGTTGGCAAGTCCCC